CGGAGCAGCTTACGAACGGGGCTTTCTCGTCCCAGAGCTCGCAGGTAGCAATCCGCCACCTCGACCTCCGGGGCGAGAAAGCCCCGTTCGTAAGTGCGGATCCGACATAAGTCGGATCCGCGTAAGTCGGGGACTGCCTGTACAGACTTCTCATTTGTTGCCAGTAGGATTTATATGAATGAACTGAAAGCAACAAATGCTTCTTTTTGTCATTCAGCGAGGGTAAGGATTTTCTTTATCCTAAAACTTGGGGGTCCTGTATAATGAGAATAATCTATTTGTGCTTCTGAGTTTAAGAAATACATTATAGTTTACTGAAGTAATTCTAAAACAGCTTTTTAATCCTTCCTCGGTGTCTAAAGCACGTAACTATTATAAATCATGTAATTTATATTTTAGTGCTTTCTATGAAGAAAGTGAATTAATGCTGCCTGTGGTTCAACACTTATTTGCCTCTTGAGACACACCTTCCTTTTTCCTATGTAAATCAAATGTTTTACCTAACAAGGGCTATTCTTGCTAGATATGTTAAAGACGAATATATCTGCAGTTCAGTTGGGCTTCTGCTTCAATTTAGCTATATGTTTTTATAGGTTATGATCTCGTTTAAAATATAAAAGATGGTTTTAAGATTGCAACATAATTTGGAATCATGCTAACCAAAGGCATATTTTACTTGTTCTCCCTCACTTTCTTTAAAAGCTAACAAAACATGTAGATGGTATCATGAGCTTTCTTGGGCACAGCCCACTTCTTCAGATGACCGGAGTTATGACTAGAGGATAAGAAAACTCAAAATAAATAGGAGAAGGGAAGGTGAGGGAGGGGGACGGAAGAGAAAGATGCTCTGTTGCCCACCCGCCTACCTCTATACATAAAGTATCAGGAGACAGGGTGCTAAACCTGAATAGATAAAGATCAAAGTCAGTGGATGGATTGCTAAGGCAGGAAGTAATTTATACTATATACAGGTCCAATTTTCCAAGTCCTGCCCCAGAGATTTCATGACATCTTCCTTGGCCATTAACATGCCATTCTCATGTGAATGTAGCTTTTATGCCATTACCTTTGCTTTTAGATACAATTTTTGAAAACTTGCTCTGTTATAAAAAATTAAAAAACAATGATCCTGTAGCACCTGAGAGACTTAACAAAAATATATAAATAGTATCATGAGTTTTTGTGGGCACAACCCACTATTTCAGATGACAAATATGGAGCAAGAATTGCACAGGGTTTGAAATATAAATCAGAAAATTAGAGGAGTGGGGGAGGAGAAAGAAAGGAAGGGAAAAAAACCTGTCAAAGTGTCCGTGGTAAATGAGGCTAATCGAGTAGGCTGCAGGTGCCTGATACTTAGCTTTTGATGTCATTTGGTTGCCTTACCTGATGTTCCCATAGTCATCCTATTCACTTCTTTTATTCATTTATTGTGACTATTTTAATAATTAGGTAATTTAGATAAAACATGCTGTAAATAAAAAGACCAACCATAATGCTAGATATTTAGTGCCTCGGCACACAGACTGACAGATAGGTTTGCCCCTTTGCACTGTCAGCTCTTTATTTTCCAACTGTCTTAATTTTTTGTTTGATGCTGTGCTAAGCACATATCTGAATTTAACAAATTATTGTCATAATTTTAACAGAAATTAAACAGTAACAAAATTTTATTTTTTGAAATACCCCATACATTTTGTTCAATCAGACCATAAATTTGGAAACATGGTATGTCAAACAGTGGCAGTCATTTTCAGTTCTATATTTTTTGCTATTTTTTGTAGGTGGTACTATTGACTTGTCAGACTATTCCATGTTTTTCAGATACCAAAGACAAAGTGGGTGAGGCAATATGTTTTACTGGACCACCTTTTCTTTGCAAAGGATATAAATTTTCAAGCTACACAGAGAATCACAGGGCAGCACATGAACTGTCGCTTTATTTCCATTGGGTGTCACTGGAGATAATAGAATAAACCACACAGGCTAACAGTACAATGATGCTTTGTGATTTTAATCAGCCTGACTGCATTGCCTTTTGTGGGCCTGTATCTAAAAGCACTTGATGACATCAGACTGTTGGATTTTAAAATGTTTCCATGTGAAGTATTTTTTTCCTCTTCTCTCAGCGAAACATGGCAAAAATGTATTCCAGGAGAGAATTGTTTGTCTGTTTGTGTAATCAGGCCCTATTGAGATAATCCTGATGAGCAATTGGCTCAGGGGAACATAGACTTTGAATTCAGACAGCACTACCAAATTTGCAGACAACTACATTGTGGAGCCCCATTTTTCCAATAACATATTGAAAGGCTAGTTTGATTGCTTCAGCATCTTTCCTGTACGGTATGAAATACTATGCTGATTGAGAGCTATGAGATCGTAACAATTTGTCATTATGTTAACTCTTTATTTTGGCCCTTGTTGGAGAATAGCACAGGTTTTCCCAATCCTATTCATCAAGAACCATCATCTGTTAGCCTGCCTTGCTCCTCTGGGATTCATCCTCTCTAGCTGACATAAGAACAACCATACTTTGGTCAGACCGAAGATCTATCTAGCCCAGTATTATATCTTCTGATAGGGGTCAGTGCCAGATGCTTCAGAGGAGATGAAGAGAACAGGGAAATTTGGACTGATTCCTCCCTTGTCATCCAATTCCATCTTCTGGCAGTCAGAAGTTTAGGGACACCCAGAGTATGAGGTGTGCCTGGCCATTTTGGCTAATAGGTCCATCAATGCCTATCTTCCATGAATTTATCCAATTTTTTTTCATGCCCAGTTATACTTTTGTTTTTCACAACATCTCTTGGCAACGATGTCGGCTGTGTGAAGTACTTCCTCATTTGTTTTAAACCTGATTAACAAAAGAATCAGGAGTCACAGGATGAAATTAATAATGTGAAGGGATAAATAACACTTCCTTATTCACTTTCTCCACGTCATTCTTGATTTTATAGATTTCTATCATATTCTCTATTAGTTGTCTCTTTTCTAAACTGAACAGTCTCATTCTTTAATTTCTCCTGCTATGGAAGTTGTTCCATACCCCAATCAGTTTTTTTGCCCTTCTCTATAACCTTTTCCAATTCTAATATATCTTTTTTTAGATGGGCCAAACAGAATTGAATGCAGTATTCTATGGCTACATGTACACTACAAGGTCTTTGCGCAAAAACTGGTGGAGCATCCACACCTCAAATGCGCTTTTGCGCAAGAAAACCAACCGAAGAGAGGGCTTCTTGCAGTAGAGTTATTCCTCCCCCATGAGGAATAACTCCTTTTTGCACAAGAGTTTTTGCACAAAAAGACAAGTGTGGATGCTCTGCAGGGGGGTTTTGTGCAAAAATTGGCCTCCAGGGAAAAATACAGGTAGCCATTCGGGCACTCTAGAGCAGGCAATCACAACTCTCTTGTTCCTGTCTGCTGGCCCCTCTTAAAGAGGCAGACACCCTGCACAGCACTTGCCCACAGCCAGCTGCCTGGCCGCATAGCTTTGTCAGCACGGATGGTGGAGCAAGCAGGTGCCTGAGACCCCCCTGGCCCTGACAGGGA